GCGTATAGTGGGACTTCGGGAAGCTGGACTTTCGGGCAATTGCAGTTAGAGTGCAAATAAGAGTAGACACTGTGGTTAGGTGTTGTCAGGCATGGCTTCGAGAAGGCCGTACGCAAAGAGCAAGGGGCACTGGACGCCGCCGTAGAACAACAGACCATGAAGATCGCCGCCTAAGATTATTGGCCTTAAGGGACCGTTTCTCCACTACCAGGTCCATTGCAAATGAATGGTTTGCAGAACACGGAAGACCTATTGGCATGCGAAGTGTTTACCGACGAATGAGAAGTTTTGTCTTGTTTTCATACCGGCCACACTGGGTCCTCCCTTTAACTCGAGAACACCGACGTAATCGCCTTGAGTGGTGCAGACAACGGTCACTCTGGGATCAGGAATGGAACAGTATTGTCTTTAGTGACGAGTTTCGATTTTGTTTAGGCATGCACGATGATCGTGCCAGGGTTAGAAGGCGACGTGGTGAAAGGAGGAATCCACAGTTTTTTGTTGAAAGGCATGTTCATCACACTGTTGGAGTTATGGTTTGTTGTGCTATAGCTTATGATTCCAGGTCACCTTTAATCTTCATCAGAGGTAACATGAACGCGCAGCGTTATATCCACGAAGTTCTAGAACCCCATCTTTTACCCTATCTTGACACCCTGGCAGATCCAACTTTCCAACAAGATAATGCCCGACCACATGTTGCAAGAGTCACAATAGACTTCGTTTAACGTAATGATGTCACATTGTTACCATGGCCACCAAGATCTCCCGACTTATCTCCAATTGAGCACGTGTGGGATATGATGGGTAAGAGATTGCTCAATTTGCAACGTCCTCCTCAGACTCTAGAAGCACTTCGAGAGGAGTTGGTGGTTGCCTGGAATGAGATACCACAGGAGGACATTGACCACCTGATCAGAGCATGCCTAGGCGCGTTGGAGAATGCGTAGCACATCAGGGTGTATCCACACATTATTAAAGGTCAAAGTTCTTTAAAGCAGTGCAATCATTTTGAAACTTATACAAAATCTAATTAAATAAAACCATTTAAACTGGTGTTCGGATTTATATGTCACTTAGTATAAGTCAGTATATTACTAGTTTTCATGGTTTGATATTCTATCAGATGATTTGAAGGTTGATATGTCCTAAAAATAGCATTAACTCTAATTTCTTTTATTGCCTTTATGTCGACATCTTTTTTGAATAGGTCTTGCATGAACCAACTAGTTTTAATAGGAAAAGATCTACCCTTGTTTTTCTCTTCACGTACTTAGAAAATATAAAAGGAAGCGACTTCATTTCTGAAAATAAAGTTTTACTAGACAACTTTCTGCCAACCTGAGGCACTATGCAAGAAAAAATAATTATATTTTGCCTTCGTACGCTTTTTCTCTTTTACCATGAGGCTACGATACATCACCTTGCGGGTGTGAACGAAAACGCGGTAGGCACTAGTATTGTTTTTTAAAAAACAATCAGCAGCTAATTCTTTGCGAACCCAGCGCAGTATGCAAAAAACTGATTATCTCTTGTTTTTTGCCTTCTTTCTCCTTCGAGGGTACCTACGTCGCTGGGGTTGTTTTTAATAACGATCGGCTGCCAACTTTCCGAGAAAAATTGGTCCCGCTTAGTTTTTCCTTTCTAACGTGAGGATACATTCCCCATCTCGCGGGGGCGGCTTAAAACACGGTGAGCAAAATATTGTTTTTCTGCCAACCAGCACAGTAGCGAAAGAATGTCGTCATTCTGGTATAGTATTTAACGAATCCGAAGTGTATGTTTGTCCAATGGTATGTGTTCCATGTTTCGTTGGATGTCAATTGAAGTATTTGCTTTACGAAACCGCTATTGTTAATCATTCAATGACGAGTCAACTATAATGTACGGGACACACCTGGGCGGTTTTGTGAGACATTGTAAAATATTTATGGACTAAATCATCAGTGCGTTGATACAACGGCTCGCCTGGAAAATGCTTTACTATTCAATTAATAGAACAAAATGTTCTCCAACCGGTGATACGTAGACACTGAAAAGGGAGCCAGGCCAAAATTTATGTAAAGCTGGTAGACATACGTATGTCTTCAGGATTTGTAGGACAGTACCTAACGCTTCATTGCATGTCCCCATTAAGACACTTCACAAAGACCTTGACACCCCTTACCTAAGAAACTATACTAAGCGACATATAAATCCGAACACCCAGTTTAAATGGTTTTATTTTAATAAAATTTGTATAAGTACTTAATGAAGCATAATAAGTAAATGATAAAAATTTCAAATGATTGCACTGCTTTAAAGCCCTTTGACCTTTAATAAATGTGTGGATGCCCCCTGATGTGCTACGCATTCTCCAACGCGCCTAGACATGCTTCTGATCAGGTGGTCAATGTCCTCCTGTGGTATCTCATTCCAGGCAACCACCAACTCCTCTCGAAGTGCTTCTAGAGTCTGAGGAGGACGTTGCAAATTGAGCAATCTCCTACCCATCATATCCCACACGTGCTCAATTGGGATAAGTCAGGAGATCTTGGTGGCCATGGTACTAATGTGACATCATTATGTTGAAAGAAGTCTGTTGTGACTCTTGCAACATGTGGTCGGGCATTATCTTGTTGGAAAGTTGGATCTGCCAGGGTGTCAAGATAGGGTAAAAGGTGGGGTTCTAGAACTTCGTGGATATAACGCTGCGCGTTCGTGTTACCTCTGATGAAGATTAAAGGTGACCTGGAAGCATAAGCTATAGCACCCCAAACCATAACTACAACAGTGTGATGAACATGTCTTTCAACAAAAAACTGTGGATTCCTCCTTTCACCACGTCGCCTTCTAACCCTGGCACGACCATCGTGCATGCCTAAACAAAATCGAGACTCGTCACTAAAGACAATACTGTTCCATTCCTGATCCCAGAGTGACCATTGTCTGCACCACTCAAGGCGATTACGTCGGTGTTCTCGAGTTAAAGGGAGGACCCAGTGTGGCCGGTATGAAAACAAGCCAAAACTTCTCATTCGTCAGTAAACACTTTGCATGCCAAAGGTCTTTCCGTGTTCTGTAAACCATTCATTTGCAATGGACCTGGTAGTGGAGAAACGGTCCCTTAAGGCCCATAATCTTAGGCGGCGATCTTCACGGTCTGTTGTTCTACGGCGGCGTCCACTGCCCCTTGCTCTTTGAGTACGGCCTTCTCGAAGCCATGCCTGAGAACACCTAACCACAGTGTCTACACTTCTTTGCACTCTAACTGCAATTGCCCTAAAAGAAAGTCCAGCTTCTCGAAGTCCCACTATACGGCCCCTATCAAACTCACGAAGTTGACGAAATCGTACAGGTCTCCGTACTACTACGCATCGTAACCGATCGTAAAGGATGTCAAGAACCAAAATCCGCCAACGTTGATTCTTTACTGCGGCTGAAATATTCATTTTTAGAGCGTTCGTGAATTAAAAAAAAGCAGTATAAAAACCGGAATGTCCAACTGATAAGCTGAAAATTTTTTCACTTGTTATTTACTGTAAGATAAATACATTCACCAACTTTTATTAAAATAAAACCATTTAAACTGGGTGTTCGGATTTATATGTCACTTAGTATATATCAACAGCAGGAAAAGAAACACTGTATCTTTACTAACAGAGCATCCACGTATTTCTACACTAGTTATTTTCAATCACCATGTCCAGATTACGGAATGTTTCTCTTGTTTCAACCTTCCTGCTTGTAGGCTGTCTAAGTTCACATATAGGAATATAAACAAACCATCTGTCAATAAATAAATTTAGGATGTTACTGATTGATATTGTTAAAGGAACCCAAATTGTCGGATGACGTGTACGAAGGCTTTCACAAATATTTACGAAATTTCTGGTGGTATTTCCAAGTTACTTTTCAACTCAAATCCATTGATGTGACGAAAAAAGCTAATAGAAAAATGTTTCTCGCAGAATCTAAAAACATGCACTGGTTTCGAAAACGTATTCATAATGTCAAAATCTAATGTAAGTACAAATGCCTCAAATCGTAACATCACAACGGGAAAAAGTACTAATATGGAAACTTGATTAACAACTCATACAATAAAAACAAAACGATATGGAATATTGTCAATTCGCATAGAGGAGATTAATGCAGAAACGATAACATTGACTGTATCTCTGGTGAATACTTATCTACTGACAATGAAAAAAGATGTCATCGAGTTTCTTTAATATATCCAATGAGTGTAATACGGCTTATAACAACACCAGCACCATGATTTCAATCCTGTTATCACCAGTGGCGACATTTAAGTAATCAACAACATATCTAATAAAAAAATACCTGATCCGATGAGATTCCCGTTTCACTAATTAAAGATAATGGTGATATTATTGCACCAATACTTGCTGAGCTAATCAATGCTTTAGTAATAAGGTACTTTTCCATCTGCATCAAAATTAGCTACTATCATTCTTATACCAAAAAATGTGATCCTCTAGACTTCAACTAATTACTCAAAAATCATAGAAAACTCATTGCAATAAAGATTGAGTATTTTTTAACACGCTTTTTTTATCCGATCAGTATTCCCTGAGATGAGAGGGGGGGAGATCAGGAACTTCTTGAATATCCTGTATAAAATGATCTTACCTTTGTTGCGGACCTGGGTTTGAATTAGTATAAAAACTACCATACACGTATATATATATAGGCATCCACAGCGGCCCTCTCCTGGACTATGAGGATGCTGCAATGCAAAGGTCAGGCGTAGTGCAGAACGTTTTATGGAAAGACCTCAACTGCTAGCCCAGCAGAATCCGCTGTATTATTGTAATGTTGGGTGGGTTCAGCATGACTTGCTGCATACAGGATGTCCTACTGCTCAGACAGATCGCTGAACGTCCACATCACTGTTAGAGTCATGTAGAATGCGTCGTTACTCACGGACACGTGTTCCGAGAACAATATCTTTCCGAAAGTAAATGACAGTAAAGTACAGCAATAAATAACGTAAAATCGAGCCTAATTGCAATAAAAAATGGACAGAAACCGTTATTTTGACTTATAACTGGGCGATGAAATCATATAACTCCACTATCAACAGAATGTGCCATTGTTCGAGTAACAATGAGCAATGCCGTGACTCAAAATATTCCTAAAGTGTATAAATAAGGAGAGCTTCGATAACGCGTAATTAGTAGATTGGTTTTACAGCGACCAACATTGCTTTTCCGTCAAAATGGTAAGTACTCTTTGTAATCCATTTAATTCGCGCTTAGAAGTGCCCTTAGGTGGAAAGTCGCTTCTCTCATAAGAGTTGATAATATTTAGTGACGTAAAATCGAAAACAGCAAAAGGGAAAGACAGAGGATTTCATGAGAAGCTCCAACGTTCTTGATGAAAATATTGTTAATTACTCGTATATATTTTTGATAAATATTTTAATGGAGGTAAGAGCAGGTAGAAATACGAAATTATGGAATAAGAACTACAAGACCTATGTCAGCATAAAATCTTGAATGAAAGTGTGTGGAATACAAATCATCTGCCTGCAAACTTGGCTATCCGGACTATAGTGAAAGTAGAAAGTGGTGGATAAAATCATTTCAAAAATATATAAAAAATAACTTAACAATAATATGACCTTGTTGCATCATTAACATCACATCATAATATTAAAAAGTGTGATTTAAATGGCGGAGTCTAGCCATTGGTCAATGTACTCAACCAATATTTGGAATATATAAGAAAGTCTAAATTAAATATATACGAGTACTATAGACTATAATAATTTCTTACTTGATACTTGATAAAGTATTAAATACTTCCAAAACGTCGATGTTAGTGTACATAAAATATATGCAACTGCTACCAAAATTTCTGTGTTACTGTGTGCTTGAAATATTTGTTTTAATAGTGACATAAACTTGTGATGATTTTCTGTATTCCTAATATTGATGTTCAAAGCATTATAACATTTGCCGGCGTTATATTAGTACGAACGCTGAACCTGGTTGTGCGATGGCTATTATGGATAATGTTCTCATATACCTTGAATTTATATCACGAATGCTTGTCGAAATGCTAGCTTGTTCCATAAACGTAGTGGTGAATGAGTGGTTATAATAAATTTTATAAATGGTAAAAATAAATATTTGAATAGGTTATTAATTTTGAGACATCCTAAACCTTTGATTGGATCAGTTACATGATCATATTTCCTTCGATTGTTGATGATAATGATTCCACAAAAAACGTTGGAAATCATCAATTACTCGTATAATCGCTTTTCTTAAAAAAGCTGAGGAATTACCTATTGGCATATAATAGTTACAGCCTAAACAGCATATTTTGATGACGCTGTGATTAGACCTAAAATTTTGCACACATGACTAATAGCAGAAGAGTTATAAATACTTTCGATATCAATATTAATTTTAGCCTTAGTGATTTTGGAATTGAAAGCTTAACAATAAATGAGTATCATGAACATAACAAATTACCCTCAAGTTTTTAAATTTGCCATCCAAATCTAATGTATATATTAACAAACAGAGGGGTCCTAGGAGTTAACCTTGTGGCACCCCTGAAGGAACATTCCGCAAATTTGAAATACTTGTTCCCAGAACCGCCAAACATATGATGCTAGGAAATGTAGGGCCGATTGATCAAATCCAAGATAAGTATGCTTAGCTGAAAGTAGGCTTACTGTGTCGAATTCCTTACTAAAATCGAGAGAGACAAGAACGATTGCCAGGTTGTTATCCAAATTGGCGATTATATCATCATCTATAACAGATTCGACATCAATAGTGCTAAGCTTTTTTCGAAAGCCTGCACCTCAAGCAGTATATTGTTAGTACAAGTAAGCTCTAAAATTTGTTTGTAGATTGCTTTCTCCAATAGTTTGGAAAGAAATGGACAAAAGGCTGACAGGTCTCAAGTCACCGACTTGTCCTGGATTGTAGGTTTAGGAAGTGGCATAACTAGTGACTATTTCCATAGTGTGCGACAAATATCCTGTCTCTACGCAGCAATCTATAATGTGAACCAAGGAACTGGAGCATTAGTTTTTATTTTATTAACAGCATCCGATACACCATGTGTATTGAGAGTTCTTAAATAAAAACTTGTTTGATTAGTAGGTTTTGAATTCGAATAGTGCTTAATTGCATCTCGACATGCTAAACCATTCAAGTTAAAAACAGATAAGACTCACATCAGCTATTCCACCTGGAATATTGGAAGCCTGAATCTTCATTGATTTTAAAGCTTTATAAAAATCTTTTGAGTTGTTTTGGTTACTTAGAGCTTCAAGGCAGATTGTTTTCTTTTATACTGTTTGATTTACATTGGTTTCTTAAGACTCTATAGCTTTCCCAGTTTTCATTGTTGTTATACCTCTTAAATTTCGATAGAGCTTTGTGTCGCTTTTTTTATCAATGGACGCAAATTTCGTGTTAGCCACGGTGATTTAGGCTTTGTTACATGAACATTTCGATAAGGAGCATGAATATCAAATAGTTTTCTGATATTGTCAGTGATAATAAAGCATGACAATGTTTCATGTAGACTATTTTTTCAGCGGATAGCCTTCATCTTCGGCTTAGCCTTCCTGGCAGTATGTGGTAAGTATCTTTATTGTTTAAAAGAAACAACGATCCGCTAATTTGCTAACATGGCGGAGGATACAAATTTGTATTTCTGTGTCTTTGACGGTATGAGGAATAACAGAGTAATCTATATAATAAAAATTCAATCATTGCTTCATCCGGCAACTAAGATTTCAAAACCAATGTAGAAATAATGATTAAAAAATTGTCCTTTCTTAGTTATTTCATAGATTAGTACTCACAGTATGCTGCAACAAGAAGCAATCCTGGACTGATCTCGTGAAAACAATGATATTGAACTAAGCTCTAACAAAGTGTTCATACGTGTTGTGTTGTAACGAGTGCTGTACATTTTATTTTCGCTTCTTTTATGGTCTATTAGTAAAAACTTCTTCGGCTTGAAGTACAGCTCATTTTAATCAGAAAGACGATTATGCAACGAAGGTGGACCCTACAGGTCGTAGATGAGGACAGGGTACCATTAGAAGAGAAGAAAGGTTGCATTTTACATAAAGTTTGCCGATTACTGATATCCCATCTCAATTTAAAATTATTTGAAATACTCGTACCTGCTGTTTGCCCGAAATCACCTAAAACAGTTTTCACAAATAATTATAAATCGGGCAAATTTCATGTAAATAGCAACTTGATTCCGCAAGTTGTTTGTCTTGTAGAGTATTTGCAATCCATATCTAGGGCTCGTTGCATAATAATTCCTTATTTTTAATCATCTATTATTTCACAAAAAAATATTTGTATTGATATCTGGAAACAGAAGTAAAAATCAAAATATAACGTTTATTATCTTTTTTATCATTTTGTCATTCGCGCGTTAAATACATGATGTGACACAACTCTAATAGTTATTTACCTAACAAGTGCGGAAAGTGGTGCAGATTTTATCATACATCCACTTATTTACGATATATAATGAAAACAAGTACCACAAATGCAGATAAATAGATATAGTGTTCGAGAAAAAGCTTGATATATCGGTTTCTACTTAGGCGAAGGCTTTGACTTTAACTTTAGTATATTTTTCTTGCTTTTGTTGCTGACCCCAGATGCTTTCTGTGGGGATTTTTAATAAATAAATCATATGTCAACATATCAAGCACTAAGGCAGCAGGTGGCAGTATTCGAAAACCTATTTAATATATTTCTTCGAAGCTTACCAGAATAAAATGGAGAACGTAGAACATTGAGGTTGGAAACGAAATAAAGATATTGACAATAGAAAACTAGATCTATTTTATTCCATTCTGATGACATGAAGTGGAAAGTCAGTGAACTATATCTACATATTGGCTATCCTATCTCGTCTTTGGTTTATTTCTATTGATAGGGATAAACTAGTCTTGATCCATCAGTAGCTCTACAAGGTATTACTGAAATACAAAATTTTCACAGCAAAACCGCCTGGAGATGAAGGCGTAACTCCACCAGCTGCAGACGGACCAGGACCATCACCACCTGCAGACAAACCAGAACCACCCCCAGCTACAGATGGACCAGAGGCAGCAGCTTCACCAGCTGCAGTTGAGAGCACATCTACAAAACCTCCAGACAAACCAGAAGCTTCACCAGCTGTCGATGAGGAAGCATCTCCTCCATCTGCAGATGAGGGAGCATCTCCAGCAGCTACCAATGGCGGAGCATCGTCACCATCTGCAGATCAGGGAACATCTTCACCTCCACCTGCTGCAGATGAAATAAGTTATGATGAGGAAGTATCTCTACCAACAGAAGTACCAGCCTCGGATAGGCTCGCACCTCCACCAGCTACAGATCAACCAGGATCTACGTTAGCTGCGGATGGGGGAGCATCTTCAGTAACTGTAGACGAGGCAACATCTTCACCAGCTGCAGATGGGGCAGCATCTTCGCCAGCTGCAGATGGGGCAGCATCTTCACCAACTGTAGATGAGGCAGCATCTTCACCAGCTGCAGATGAGGCAAAACCTGCACCTGCTTCAAATAAGGGAGCATCTTTAACGGCTGCTGATAAATCAGAACCAGCAGGTTGGTTAACGTATCATTATTTGCTCTCATAGCCTAGACAAAATACAGCAAAAAATATTGCAAGTGCAAAGCAGAAAATTGGTACATATCTTGGAGATATCATTCTGTTTGATATATCAAAAAATCCTGTTTAATTTGGGATGCAATATCAAAGATATCACGGTTTGTCATATTTCTCTTAAAGGAAGAGACATAGCACAAAACTACCTCATAAAAAAATTGTAGAAAATCCAATTATCTATTAAAATTGATAAACTGTTAAAATGAAGATGGTGCTAGGAAAGGTACAAACGGTTCTGATGAGATATTAACAGGCTTCTTGGAATCCTCAACCAGTTCTTGTGATCTAACAATCCCAGCCTGATAATAAATACTACATGCACTAGCTACTGTACGTATTTACACGTTACCTAAAATGTGTCTTCTTTTTACGTGGGGATATAGGGCATAGCTATACAAATGAAAAACGATCACAGTTCCACCACATGCACCAGCAGCGCATTGATGCGCGTCGTGCTAATTTTTAATCAATATGGACGCGGGTTACTTTTTGCTCAATATAGACTATACATTTTTTCACGAAATTCGTCACGAGAGAATATTAATTACCCTACATGCACCATCGCTGATGGGTAATTACTGACGAGTTTGTACCTAAAACATGATGTAATTGTATGACAACATTCACGGTCTTGGCAACGTTGCACATTGTCGTCGAGCTATGTCAGTGGAGTTGCATCTCAGATTTTAGACAGATAAAGGTACATTTCAAAACGTATCTCTTGCTGTTATGCTATTATGTACACGATTTTAAAATTCAGGAACTGCATGGTCCATTTGAATATACATTAATGAAAAAAATAGAAAAAGTACCTCAATAGGAAAGGACTGGAATATATATTATGTGTATATTCTTTTTTATTCTGAGAATCCACATTTACACATTTTCATAAGAAAATACAAACGAGGTTTGTCAATTATGGCCTAACAAACTAACTTAAAAATCACATTAAAATAAACTAAACTTTCGGCATTGTAGGAGAAGGTTTTAGTCTTGAATTAGATGCATGGGACCTACAAAATAATGATTTTCAACCGAGTCTTTAATCATTGAAGATGAGTATTTTTAGGGTTTTTCAGACGCCTAATGGCTTATAGCTCAGAACTGACTAATCTTAGACAAAAGTCACAAAGAAAAGAAAATCTACGGGGCGACTAAAGACGGAAGGGAAATAAAAAAGTCCCTGATCATTATTATTTGACCTCATCTCAGTTATTATCTGCTCATAAAGTGCGCTCCTCACATTTTGTACACTCAATTCCATCCAGCAGCAGGTCTACCGGATATTTTTTTGAGACAATATAATACTTTTTAACCACTTTGATGCAAAAACCACAGGCGTTACAAAAATATAGACATTTAAATTATTTCATAAGTGTGTTTGGACTTATCACAGGTAGTGCAACGGAACTTAAGTTTGAAAACTGTTTGTGCAGAGATTTCCCAACCTTCGCTGCTTGGGCTTACTAAATTGTTGTTAAAAAGGAGCTTGTTCAAGACAATTTTTTGAGTAAAATCTATTTGTGCGCCTGCACCTGAAAACATGTTCATACCGATCGCTGATTCTGGATTTTTCTTTGTTTTTTCTATTTTTCCTTATTTATTTATTTATTTCCAACAGTTGAAACCCAATTACAGGAAACGCTGAAAAAAATAACAATTAAAGAGATGGTTCTTGGACTTAAATATATAGTATCACACATTCTAAATAAGATTGGATGATCTATAGCAGTTAATAATCGATGCAGAACTGTCACTTTAAATATCACACGATTCAGTAACACTGTTCATGACGCAGCACATGAGATTAATTGGCGATTTTGTCATAACATTTGTACGGCCAGCTTGACAATAGAATGCCGTTTGTTGTCGACTCCCTAGCCTTGGAACGCGGAAACATATTTTTTCAAGTAAATTTTGACAGTCAATTTTATTGTGAATGAGGCCATACAAAAACGACAAAGCAAATATGTTTCGTCTTGTTGACAGTGAATCCAAATTGAAAAACTCTAATAGGGCACTATGGTCACAACCTCTTTCTGGATAAGAACCTGTACATTTGAGGTGAAAATACTTTAAAGCTTTACGTTGAATGACCTCAAGGATCACGACAGAATTTTGGTATATAGGAGACCAAATCAGAGTCGCATACTCCAACTTGCTCCTGACAAAAGTAAAAAATAAAGTCATTAATGTATCAACATTGGAGAAACCCTTCCAGTTTCTGATACAGAAACCAAGTAGTCGAGTGGCAGCCGACGAGATATTGAAAATATGCTCAGTAAACGTTAGCTTGGTATCAAAAATGACTCCAAGGTCTCTATAACAGGTGCATCTGTCTATAACCTGACCATTGATGTTATAATTATCATAAATTAAATAGTTAACTTTTCTTGTATAAGTCATAACTTTACATTTCGAAACATTCAGACTGAGACAGTTTCGTGAACACCATGACGAAATTAGAGCTAAGTCATCTTGCAACATGACGCAATCCTCGACTGTCTTGACTGACGTGCAGATTTTAAGGTCATCAGCGAAAAACAAATGGAAACACTTCAGTTCAAAAGACAAGTCATTAATAAATATTAAAAACAATAATGGACCTAGATTTGACCCTTGAGGTACCCCGGACGTGGCCCGATAGTAACTCGACCTATGACCACCATATTCGACAAATAACCTTCTATCCCTCAAATATGAATTCATGAGCGACAGCATTGCATCAGACATACCCACTGTTTTAAGCTTATCCAGAAGTGCATAATGATCAACTTGATCAAACGCCTTCTGAATATCTGTGTAGATGACATCAACTTATCCCTGACCGTCCAGTACTTCAGAAATGTACTGAGTAATTAGAGCCAAGTTGGTGACCGTAGATCTGCCTCTCATAAACCCATGCTGATTAATAGAGACTGCACCCCTGACCGAGCAGTAAACCGCTTCAAAAGCGATGATCTCAAACAACTTGCTGAAATTGCACAAGATTGCTATTTGGCGATAGTTGGAAATATCAGAGATATCTCCACTTTTGTGAATAGGACATATTTTAGAGGTCTTCCAGATATTTGGATATGTCTGTGATTTTAGAATTAGGTTAAATATGGAAGCCAGCGGCTTCGCTAGTATATGAATGCAATCTTTAGGTAACGAAAAAACATGGATTACCATCACATCCAGACGTCATTTTGTTCTTTAATCTTTTCGAAGCCCTAATTACGTTTTCTTCACTTATATTTTTTAAAGAAATGATATCGTTAGTATTATTTGTTGGAGGAGATGACCCTAGTAGACCAGACGGGATAAAAACTATTGAAAAGAAGGTAGCAAAACTGTCCACTATATCCTGAGGCATATCGCAGACATTGCCGTTAAGCGTCATCCTTGGGGGGATTCTAGATTGCTGTTTTTTGATATGGGCAAATGACCAGAATTTGCTAGGATCATTGACAATGACATCCTCAACCGATTGGACGTAAGCAGAGTAGGCACTGATCTGGTTCTTAATGAGCTTCCTAAAATTACTGAACTGATCATAAGAAAACTTAGTACCGTCACGTTTCCAGTTCCTTCTTGGTATGTCCTTCTTCTTTTTGAAGATGAAATAACAGGCATCACTTACAAAATGATGTGAAAGAGCACAAACACGGAAGTATGTGAAAATGCTTCGCCCGCTTTAGCATGGAAGAAAAGACTACACCATGGGGTTTTTCCGCGGTTACTCCTACAGTTTCCTGAGACTTTGTTTAAGTTTGTTTTTTTTTGACGTAGTTAACGCATTGTATAACATTCCGTTCTACGACGAATAAATCGATTGTGAACTGATATCTGACGTTTTATTCCACGGATGAGCACGGTGACACTTCTTTTTTCATACTATTTACCGACAGAGTTTTCATACGTTCACTTGCATGACTGGATATTTTAATAGAGTTGTAAATAAGCGACAGACGGAAAATTGTAGTACTTTAAAGAATGATTTCTAGGCGATTCTTAAATCTGAAGTTGAAATCCGTCCTACTTCGGCGAGCTACAAACTTTTTATAAAGCCGGGAGATTGCGTAATCAATGTTTTATAGGTAAGAGTGAGCATTTTATATTTCGTCCATTATTTATCTAACCTAGCTAGCTAGTGTAACATGAAATATGATCGCACATCTTTAAACTAAAAACAAATCTACAACAACTGTTTTGCAGTTTTTGCATCCTGTTACTCGTGGCAGCACCGAGGCACCGCAGTAAGAGAATGTAGGAAACTCCACAAAGGTTTTTACTAGTTTTAAAATTCAATATACCTACATTTATTAGAACAAAGGCGCTTAAGAACAATATACCTGTATCTTTTTTCAAATATTAGCAACATGCTCCTTAGAACGTAAAAATTCCATCAATCTATATATCTAAGGAATGGTATACAGTGAACGGAGACTATAAGAACAAAACAGCAGAATACTTCACAATTTCCTTAAGATCCATGTTAATTTCACGAATTGTTTGATGTGTAGATTCGAAGCTAAAAGACGTATCAACGGCGTAAGTTTAAAGAGGAGAGTCAGATATAACCGTATGAATATCAGCTGTGTAGAGTAAAAACAATATTGGGCCAAGTACAGAGCCTTGAGGAACACCAGATGTAACAAGGCAAGGATTAGAGTATTGGTTATCCAAGTGCACCGCTTGGTGACGTTCAGAAAGATATGTTTCAAAGAAATTTAATGCTGTATTGTAGAAGCCATAGTAATATAATTTAGAGCGTAAAAGTCAAAGGCTTTGGAGGAACCTGCCATCATCTTGTTCTCTAATAATGTCATCTGAGACAATATTTTTAATATTATACTATCTTTGCAGCTAATGAAAAAGGATCCATCCGAAGAAAGCGAGGTAAGCTCCTGATTTAAGACTGAACAGCACTCATGGATAAGGCGCTTCCATTTTTACATGTGTTAACTATCATTTACTTATCACTGCAATAAACATTTAAGTATGCACTTGGTATTATTTCACGGCTTGAAAACCTCCCTAAAGTATACTATACTATACAATTCTAATACTGTATGATGTGAAAATCAGTATAATTGACAGCACTGGTTCAGCGACCTGCTAAGGCTGTGATAGGGCCTGGTCAAGTGAACAAAAATGTCAAATATCGGCATTTTCACTGACTGCGATGTTTGAATTGTGTAGTATTAGTGGTAACAAACCCTATAAGTCGAACATTCTGCTTGAATCAGAAAATTCAGAATTGGTGGGTATCACACACGCACTCATGAATTCTGTGCACAGCATGCAGCGGAAGTTAGCGTTATTAGTTTCTCAGAAGATGCTTCATTTATACAAACATGATGATCTACTTCTTGACAGATCGACACACAATAATCGACGTGTTGAAAAATCTGTCAAAAATTAATAAAACAAAATATCGGAAATGAGTGAAAATTATTTCCTGATTTAAGTTTAATACCTTGTTGGACATGGAAACAGAACTTTGCTTACATTATCTTTTTCATGAGAGATTATTAAATTTCAGGACGAACACGGCTTATCTGATAGAACAGCTAAAACTAGAATGAGAGTCAATCCTAGAAACCTATGCAAGAAACGATCTTCTCGTATTTGTCTTACAAGCTTACTTATTGAGAGACAATAAAAGGGAAAAGAATTGCTTGGTGTCTCTAACGGAATACGCTAATTATAACAACATAACCTTCTGCAATCTTTATGGGGATTTCGCTGACGTTTGGCCATGCTTTGTAGGCTCACTGCTTTGTGATTGGTCAATATCATCCTAATGTTCCGCGCCTAAGTGCGGTTCTTGAATTGACTAAGGTTGGTAAAGCCTCTTCTTGGATGTACGAAGTTCGACACGGTTAGGATGGGACGCCAAAGTCAGGCGGTCTCTCCTTAGAGGAAGGCTAGATAATATATAGTTTGGTTGTAGATGACCACATTGTTTACTTTGCCAGCATCGCTTTGCTAATTTTTTATAATTTTGTTTTCTGTACACTCAACTGTAGACCATTGTTGTTCAACCACTAAAATAAATTTTCTGTTCAAAGGTTTTACTATTTCTGTTGCACATTTTTCAATGAAATAAGTAATTGTGTTATTAGCAAAAAGCTGCATTCTACATGATTGAGCTACATTTACATTTACATACATAATAAGTAATGTTAGACCCAAATAGACGGTGCGATTGGCAGAACGATTCTGGGACTGTTTCCTGTTAAAACTGCAACAAGGCATAGTATCACAGTATATAGTACGTTTGATTACTATCTTTTATTAATTTCTGTTCCACAGAAGAGAAATCTGCACGGAAAAGTAGAACACACACTGCTGGAATGACCACTGACGAATTAAGTAAGTATCCAGGTGTCTTAACCTCTCTATATACAGGGTGTCCGCAAAGTTGGGGTTTTCCTTTACACGACGCGTAGATCTTGAAAACATAAGCAATTTTTCTTAGTACCATATACACCAATGTCTTCAGGGAACCGAGATAAAGGGCTCTGCAACATCAAAAATATCTTAACACCGTCCTGTAGCCGCGACCCGCGACATCACCGATTGGTACAAGGTCTCAACCCGACGGCAGAACTGGGTCGGGGTCAGTGTGTCAGGTCAGTAGGCAACCTTCAACCGACGGTTACGGTCACGCATGTAGAGGTAATCGCGTAGACGAGAATCCCTCAACAAGCACTAGAGACGTGACTAGAGAAGTGCAAGTATGAAAAACTAAAGTGTGGCAAACGCTGCGTGAAGAGGGGCCGTATCCTTTTCACGTCCAACGTGTACAAGCCCTTCAACCTGACGATTTTCCAGCAAGAGTGCGGTTTTGTGAGTTGTTGTTGCATCAACATGACAATAATCCGGACTTTTTGAAGTGCATATTGGTGAATAACTTTCGCAACACTCATGTTTGGTCAGTAGAAAATCCGTACGCTGTCCGTCGGGCACATTTTCAACAAACATTTTCGGTGAATGTTTGGGCTGGCATGGTGAACGGTATGCTCATTGGACCATTTACTCTCCCAAATCGATTGGACGGGATGCAATATCTAGACTTTTTGCGCCACATTTTGCCTTCCTTGTTAGAAGATGTGCCATTAAGTGTAAGACAATCAATGTGGTTTCTGCGTCTGCTCGGTAGCGCATCAGCTGATTTCATTTTCTGTTGGACCGGTATGATTTCGGGCAGAGACGTACTTAGCCCTTCTCGTCAACTGGAGAGTGAGTACTTTTTCCTTTACTTTTTTTACTTGGTCGCCCTCGTTTCACTACACATTACCTTTGTTATTTCAAGGGTAGTTGTTTCTGAAAAGGAAAACCCCAAACATCTAGTATGGTGGTTTGATAGATTGGCAGAAGAACGTATGTTATATTCTACGCGTACAAGTGTAGTTAAAGCTTTAACACAATGTTTATTATTTATATTGGTGGTAAGTACAATACGACGGATGCCTAACGTCAACAGTTTAGTCCATGAAATTCCTTTGTATACATCCAAAAATCATCAGAAATACCTAACCACCATATATATGAAGTTTGAAGACGTTCTTTAACTTTACGTCGTCCGCTTCATTTAGCAAAGTCCACAAAGCTTTTTCGTTCTTCTCCAGTGTAGAAACTTGAGAAGTGAAATCGAAAAAGCGCCAAAACTTACTAGCCACTGCATTTAGCATGCCACAACGGTAGCGCTTCCGAGCCTGATACGTAGATATGACATGATAATGCTCATAACATGTTCATGTAACAATTTTTCTCTGCACGAGTTGCCGTCAGCGGAGAGTTTCTGGCAGAGAAATCCCCTTGTCACTTCTCCGTGGATTCTCACTACTCACAAGATGATATTTTCGCTTTATCTCTACAGAACACTGGAAGGTCACGCTGAACCACGTGACACACGGCTGTAGAAGGGAAGTGGCTCAAGCATTCGTCGCCGCCGGGATTCCCTTCCCTGGGATGTCCAGACCGCACGTCTTCAAAGCCAGTGGCGTCTGTAACGACGAAATGTTCGAAGCCTTCAGGAAGTACTTCGACTACGGAAGGAAGGAGGATCCAGACGATGATACCAATACAGTCGAGATGGATAACCCGGATCTAACGTTCTTCATAGAGCTATATGGAGAGGTCGGAGGAGTCGCCAGGAATATTAAGAACGACAAAAAGGGTGAGGGTTTCTTTTATAGTCAATGAATTGCGCGAAACATCAGCCTCACATAATGTGATGAGATTTGCCTAAATATATCAGACATTAGCTATGTGTCCAAGGAAATTACCTGGGGTATTTCGCCACAGTAATAACAGTGGTGAATGAAAATGAGCAACGAGAGTCAAATAGCGTCTGACAATCGCCATTGCATTCTGCAGGTACATATTTAGGGTGCTATTTTGGTGGTACCAACTTGAAAATTGGGACTGACGCCTAACCTGCTTTCATTATAGTTTCCAACCCAGGATGTACAGGAAGCTAGTAAACTGCTATAGTCTTGCTATTTCCATTATCAAGTATCAAAAGTCTTGATACAGTCACAATTTTTAAATAATTAAAGGTGTCTACCTATGTCTGACGTATTATCAACTATCCGTGACTACATTCTCTTCTCGTTCACAACATATCCCCTCTTAATCAACTGTTCTTGAACCGCCATTGGACTGTGCAATCTACCAGGTTGAATCGGATTGGAGCGCAAGAGGATTTGTTTGGTCGAAATAAATGTAACTTACTTTCTTTACTTGAAAATCGTCATATCACATCATAAGTTTTAAGACGAGTTGAAGACTATTACCAAAAACATTGTAGCATAAAATACCTGTTTGGATAACAGCCTGTAACAAACTGCTTTACCAGAAAATAATGTGATCGAATTCGTTATCCTCAAAAATTCCAACTCCGAATTAGCATGTTGATATCACAAGACTAACTAGAATTATAGAGATAAAGAGGATTTGAAAATTAAACTTATGTGTATCTCATAATAAGCGACATTTGACACAGACCCAATTGATTCAATATCATTATTTTTACGAGTTCATCTTCTTTGACACCTTTTTTAGTCAGAAACCATCAAGCTTACTGCTCTGAACCAGAGATTGAATTTATCAAAATCATGGCAGCCATATTTGCCATGAAGACATCTCAGAAATTCTTTTGTTACTGTATGTTCGTTTAATTCGTTCATTTGATTACAGGTGATCTGTCGGACCATGAGTGGAAAGAAAGTGTATGTAAGTAAATATTTTAATATTGGAATTCAGAAAAGCTGGCAAGGAACTACGTCACGTTTTTGTTGGAAGTTTCAATGAAAATGAATGAGTGAAGTAATTTCAAAAGACAGAATCCAATCAACAATTTACAACCATTTTACCACATACAGCTTGCAACTCATATTATCCAACCACAACAAACAATGTGTGAAAAAAAGCAGGAATCTCTTAATCGTTTTGTCCGCAGTTCTGCCGCCTTCCTAATTATTGCCAGTACTAACCTTCATTAGATAAACTCAAAATCGGGACCGAGAGTACAGTACTTCCATTATAATGGCTTACCCTGACCGACTGGACGACAGCAAATGAACACTGATATGAATATGTTGATAACAAACCCCAGTTACAATTTTTTCTGCGTCAACGATTCTCCATTTATCCTTCAATCTAACCGAAATTCATATCTATCTTGAACTAGTTCTTTCCTTCGTCGGAAAATATATGACTGACTCTTGACCGCCACTCATAGTTTGAGCTTTCACTAGTAGCACCTCTTACAAATAAAAGCTTTGCAATACAGCTTTATTTATTGAGGTCGTTCAAAGTAATTTTCAACACATTCAATGCAGTTTTCCATCCATCAAAACCAGTCCTTAAGCTTTAAAGCTCTGCTAAGTTTTACCTGGGAGTTCATTTTTATATGCGGAAACGGTGCACAGTCACAGAAAGCAAGATCTGGACTTTAAGGAGGACGCTCAACAAGTTTCAGCCCAGTAGTGGTCAAATACTGGGTGCGGGCTTTGGCGCGGTGAGATGGAGCGTTGTCATGGTGAAGGTACCAAGTGTTCATTCTTGACTTTGGCCGCAGGTTGTTCATAGATTCAATGACTTTAGGCAGGCACTGATTCGCGTACCACTTAGCTGTGACTGTCTTCTGTGTGTCCCAGATGATAAGCTCCCCAATCCGTTCGATTTGAAATATACAACTATCATTTTTTCTTAACAGATGGTGATTTTCTGTACAGCTACGGGTGTGTCCTCAACATCGAAGATCCAAATTATGTTTTGAATCTTGGTCAGCACATCGTAATAATAGAGCCAAGTCGCGTCACCTGTCATGATGCTGTTCACATATCGAGATTGCCCCTTATCAAACATTTTCAGCATCAGTCTTCAGTTCTTCCGTCAGAGTGTGTGGTACCCAGAAAGAACAAAGTCTCCTTACGTGTAAATGGTAATGCAGAATTAAATGAGTTGCTGGTGCATGACGGTGTAAGGTCTCCTCTATCTGTTCGTATGTGACTCGTAGTCTTCATCAAGCATTTACCTCCTCTGTTACTTCCTTCCATCTTAGCGTGAAATTGTCCCTTTGGAATTCTCTGAACCACCTGAATATAGTCGTACGGTGAAGACAAACTTTCGTTAATGCGAGCGTCATTTCCTCTAAGCACTGGTCTATGCTTAAACCACGCGTAAAGTTATTCCGTAAAAGTGCCCTTAATGCACTACGTGACCACGATGCCATATTCTAAATCATCAGACGTGCCGCTGACGGCTACTATGCACTCATGGACATGTCCCAACATGCAGTAACATGCAGCCTCCTACGTCGATCTGTTAAGTCATATTGCAAAACTTTTATAGTACACTTTGTACTTCGTGTACCGATGCCCGTACTTCTTCTTTCAGCTGCTGCTTCGAATGCTTAAACTCAGTAGAATTCAACTTTCAGACAACATCTTATGGAAGGTAGTAAGACGAGTACCGCAAGAATGTCGTCAAGAAGCAGCTCTGTTTTTTGATGTGGCTATTGGTGAGTCTCTGGATATTGGATTCGTCGATGAAAAGAAAAACTTCAAGGTATCGGAACAATGCTCTAAACATACTTACGATGCTCTTCATAAGTTCTTCGAGGAACTGCGGCTACTCGAAGATTCATTCAGAAGCAGAGAAGAACCGGTTGCAGAGTCCGAACTGTTGAAACTAGTCAGCGAGTGGAAAGATCCTAGGGTGAGTTATCAATAAAAAAAACTCGGTGAAGTAAGCTCGCCAAGACGCTGGGGATCCTAGGAATGGTTTTGTATGGATAACCTACCCGAGGTCCAGTGCCGCTCTCTTCGTTCCAGCTGGAAGCATTAAGCTCAAACCACGTACTACTGCGTGCGAACTGCACCTGAAGGTCAACTCTCAAAGGACGTGGAACAGACGAAGGATCTAAATCATTTGCAATTGTCTTTCCTACAATTTGAGTTATATTTTGTTGTACAAGAAAGTGCCAACTCTGATCTTAAGTTTCCATGACAACGTTAGATATACAACATATACATTTATATACAGGGTGACTTTGAAGTTGAGTCATTAATTTTCAGATAATGATTGTAGAAGGAAGGTAAACCAAAATATGTGTGTAAAAACAAAAAAAAATTAAAAAAAAATGTTTACCTTGTTTTATAAAGTATCCTCCCGACAAGTATTTCAGTGCGGACCTGTATTTGATCGTGAGGTCTTGGAGCACCGGCATGCAGTCCCCTGTGTGGTATTAAGTCACCTGATTCACGAGCCCGTTGTACTACATTAACAAAGGCACGAGGGGTTGGTTGCACTCGATTGGGAAACCGATCCGCATAAACATGTGCCATTTTTTATTTCCTTTGAGCCACGCAACAGACACCACTATTCAAACGCGTTACCGACTGACACTGACTAAAATAATTGTAAAAACATCGTTCCAAATTCTTTCGCTTTTTTGTTTCCGATGCGATGAACCAAACACGAGCACATAATATTATTATTGAGACAGGGCGGTACTCAAACTTCCAAAGGGCTATAACTTTGTTACTTTAATTTTATCAGAAAAATGGTAAAGGAAAAAAACATTTCTTTTGATCAGATCTACTCACTGTTAAAATAAATGACTCAACTTCGAAGTCACCCTGTATACTTGATTAAATTTGTAGGTGGCGTCTACACTGGCAGGCGGTGCAGAAGTCGTAACTTTCAGTACAAGACGTCCATACACACACCACCACGCCCACTCCACCCGCCGTCCCCGTCGCAAACATACAAAAATACCGCTCATCTCAAATACACACTTCGACATAAATAGGCTGGTAACTGAAGAACCCATCATAGTAACTCCTCTTAACTTGGGCTATATTGACTCAATTTATGGGAAAAGACCTGGAGGACAGACAAAACCTTGGGAGAAGGAACCAGGGGGGGTAGACGAGGGAGTTTCTAGCACTACTCTAGCCCTACCAGCAGAAGCACCCTTACAAGGTAACCAGACTCCCGTCCCCCCGAGTACCGTACAAGAAAAAGAGCCTGCTGCCCCGTCGGCAGAAAAAGAGGATAAGAATCGTCAATTTGAATGGCCAGATCTGAATAATGGTGGAGCAGGAGATGATATCCTCTGGCCTCATGTACATATAGGATAACTTGTTTGTGGTGGTGCTTTCCAGGTATGAGATGTGTATGGACAAACAGTAAATGTACCGCAAGCAAATTACGTCAACTGCCTCAAATGGTTGCTAACATTGAAAAGACTATACATAAAAACAAATTGAAAATATTGTGGTTGAAAACACTAAAATGCAACATTTTCATTTTTCCAGCTTTTCTAAAGATAGTGGTTAAATATGGATTAAACGCGTTTTTTGCTCTTGTATTTCGAAAGTAAACTAATATTTTTTTAAATGCAGACGAACAATTAGTGTTAAATTTAAATCCAGTTGTTTTTGGATTAGATTCAGAAAATTATAATAAGAGAAATTTTTTCTTGACTTTTACCTTCATCTCTAAGGTTATTTCAAAGCCGACTTTTTTACGGAAATCTCTATTTTTGACGCCGGCAATCAAAAGAGCCGGAAATTTCACGTTCAAATATGTATGGAAGTCCAAGGTCAGGGTGTCATCTAAAGGTGCTGCTAGGAAAAACTCATCGAAAACAACTATCAAGGTCAGATCTTTAGTAAACTTTAAAAAGATGATCTTGGATTTGATCTTAGTCTTCACCTACAGGGTCATTTCAAGGTCAACTTCATTTTTTTATGGAGATCCCTGTTTTTGATGCTGGCAATCGGATGTGCGGGACATGTTACATTCGAATGTGTATTAAAGTTCAAGATCAGTATGAATGCTGGAGGTCAAATAGGTTAAACAAAGGTCAAATATGTGCTGCTAGGAAAACCTCTAAAAATGTGGCAAAGATCGTGACGCAAATAACTCGTAAGGTTAGATCTTTGGTGAAGCGTCTATTTTGGATTTGATCTTGAACCTCACTTTCGAGGTAATTTCAAGGTCAACTCCTGTTCCAAATAAAAACTCCTATTTGATGCTGACAATCCAGAGAGATGGAAATTTTGAGTTCAAATGTGTATTACAATTTCATGTCAAGGTGACCACAAGAGGCTACTAAAAGGCCAAATGTATGCTGCTAGGAAAACTTCTAGAAATCTCACACGATTAGCGACGAAAATAACTGGCAAAGCCAGATCTTCGGGTAAGTTTTAGCGAGGAAACTAGGATGCTCATTAAAAATGGTGCTCTTCCTGCAGGTTTCTATTTGAAACAAATTACCTTGACCTGACCTTGAAGGTGAAGTTGTGATTTTTGGATACGTTTCCACAGAATTGTTTGAAATTTGCCTTCTAATCAATAGGAAGTCTATTTGGTTTATGACTATATCATCTGGATTGACTGCCGGTGATGAGCATGAATGCAGCCCTTTGAAATAGAAAAATGCTGGATCAGTCTGTTACCCCAAAGAATTCCTCACGTTATTCTATCTCTCAGATAAACTCGCGTCTAGACTTTTTGATGTTGATATGAGTCGGCTCTCTGAAACCTATAACCAACTTATTTTTTGCTCAGACAAGTGTTTTTAATAAACGACCTTGGTTTGTTTCAGGAATGGGAAGAATAAGGTATACTTTTTGTAAATATGTACAATAAATCTGTTTTAGGATTATGTTTCGCATTTTTTATCTTTCCCCATTTTTTTGAGGAAACAACGCATTTCTGCAACATCACCAAGATGATAATCATCGAATGGGTTGAATATCCTATTTTTCATCACTCTAAGTCTAAGAAGCGGTTCATCTCCTGCATGTATCCCCAACCACTAGGCCAGCAGTTCCTGGCTCTTACATGCCTATTAGTCCATGCGTTATTTATTTATTTAAACTGTGCACTTTCAGGGACTGCTAATATTTATTCATACTCATATTCATTTATTTTATTGATGGTAATATACAAAAAGTAATTTCCACCAGTCAGGTACAAGAAACAAAAAACTATATATGTATATCACAGTGTATCACGAAAATAAAAAGAAAAAAACAGTAGTGTCAGTTAATGACATCTATTTTAATGAGAGATAATTCTAAAAGTTACATTAAGAGCAGAAAACAACTATATATCACAATAACACATTTACGCTTGCATTGGAAAAAGCACAGAGAACACGTTAAAATGAACATAATGATAAAATATATTGTTCAGAACGATCCACGAGACTACATGTATGCTGTAAAAACAGTTTGTTTCAACGTTGACCTAAATTTTTCTGTTGTCCATACACCCTTCATGTCTGATGTCAACATATTGTACCGGTTGCAAGCATCATATTTCGGTGATTTTTGTAAGAGACACGAGATATCTTTTTGATTTTGAAGTTATCATTTTGCCCATGTAATTATTTTTAGATGACTGCATCTGAGCTAACAGCTTCAAAAGATAGAGTGAAGTTACAGTCAGTATTTTTTCTTTGTTTAGTAACAGAAAAAGCTCTGTGTATGTTAGCTGACTGTCTCCACACAAAGATCCCATAAAGACGGGTTCTCATTAGTCAATCGTATTGATCAATAATAATGAATCTATGCCATTGAACATAGGATTGAATGGTAAATTTGATCACGATGTGCAAATCGATAGAGCAATATGGTTGAACGGATGTTCACATTAGACTATTTCACTTCAGTTGCATAGATTCTTTATTATTGATCAATAAAATTGTCTAATGAGAACGCGGCTTAAGCATTGCGCAGTAAACTTTTAATAGGTTTTCTATATACAGGAATGATTTTGAAGCATATTGATTGCATATAATGATATATATATATATATATAGTTATTCGCATACTTCATCGATATTTTTGATAGAATTTGACTCTTATTAAAATGGACCCCACAAATTGCACGTGGCTATTCCATGACACAGTTATATGATCAATATTGAAATTATATGGAGTTACTAATTATTTCATTAGTATGATTGCGCTTTTTCAATTTCCCGTTTATCTACAATTTTTTTACCAGTTTATATAGTTCTGATATTTGTTGGTCCTTAGGATTTTTTTAATTTTGTTGAGATATTGTTTCTTAAAGATCATCCGAGAAGGTAATCCTTCTATCGGAATTTTGTTTAGGTCGTATTAAGTAGTTTTAGGGAAGCTCACCTCAAAGCTCCAAATAAAAGTGACAAAGAAAAGATCAAGAAATGACTTTAAATGTTTTATCAAATTTCTTCTGAAATTTGATATGGTAGAATCGTTTATCTCTCTATATTCTATGGACTTCAGTGTAGATTGGTCTCAACGTTTGGTAAATTGGATAAAAATAAGTGCCTTGCAGGATCAAGATTACAGCAACCTTGAATATGAAATCATATAGTCAATATTGAAGATACTCACCTCAAGTCCCTGTGACCTGAATAGCCTGATAGTAATGTCAACATGTGCGTTAAATATGTCAAAGAGTATCTTCTTATTGATTTTTTTATTTGTCGATATTAAAATTACTGCATAAAATGAGTATGTATCTATTTGTAATGTTTCATTATTGGACATGGTCATTTTCCGGCGTATTTGCATAGTCTTACATTGGGGACCAGAATAGATGTAAGTGTGGCAGATGAATTCAACGTGAAAAGCATATAAGAGAAGAATGATGAGCAATTGTGGAAGCTTCAGGCCACATCTCACAGCAAATGGTACTATTAGCAGTGGATATTTGGAACAGTGGGCAAGTATGATAGTATAGTATGAACGTCTGACCCGGTACTCTGCTTTCTCTTTATCTATTTTCCTTTTTGTTTTATCTATACTAATTTAATATTACATTTTTTGGGTTTGTATGTTGAAGTCAGAAAGCGGGAAATAATAAATTGTATCAGTCCGCAATATGTTGCGGTACAAGTGCCGCGTCAAACACGGTTCCTCTTTGGAAACGTGCATTGAAGATTCACGTGACTATCGGGAAAGGCACGCTTTGATTCTAACGAGTTATAGGTACATATTCCGTACGTGTCTTTTCTGTGTTCTTGCAGAACACTCCAGAGCCCTAGTAAGCTTCACGTGCGTTTAAATACCTGTGAATTTTCAAGGCTCATAGTGTTCGATGTGACATATTGCTAGAATTAATTTTATTCCCGCACGATTATACCTTTTTCATATTTTCCTGCACTGACGTCATCACTACAAGAACCTCTGAAAAGATTTACGAGAAATCGTTCTATGCCAACAGAATATTATTTACAGGAAAGTTTCCAATGTAGACATCGACTCAGCCAGTTATTAAAAGTTTTTATGAGCCCGTTTTCTTTGTTGTCAGCGATAACTTGTAATAAATTATTAATTTTACTAGAAATTTGTTATCGAACATTACCAGTAACAATTCACGCTCGGGTGTTTGTATACATTGAATCAACAATCAAATAAGTCTAACCTTAGCACTATGTCGCTTCGACTGACAGGTATGGAGAGTTTATTGGGGATTATGGCAATTACCTTCATGATACCAGGATGTGAGTATATTCTTTGCATACCACCTACTGCATTTTTCTTCTTATTGGAGTGCAATTCTTAAATCCTAAACGGTACAGGGCTGGTACTATCGTTTGAATAATGCGATCTAATGTCATAGCAATTTATAGAACGCATGCAGAAAACTGATATATTAAACAATATTTTTAGAAGCTAAAGGCCCTACTAGGATGTCACATTTACTCTATATGCATCGATCAATATTTGAAATTTTTCAATCAAGTTGACTTTCCACTTCCAATGTGCTGACATCAGCTGGAAATAGCTTTGACTGGATATTAGAACATATTTCGAACTGTGTTCTTATCATCCAGAATTCTGTTAATTTCTGAGAAATTTTTCCATAACAATCCCTTTTTACCACTCCTTTTCACTGTTCGGGTTTTTACTGTTACTTTTACTGTTTTTCAGAAGAAAAACTACTGCCCTTCCTTAGTGAACGTTTATTAGTTCTAAACAATAACAACACAACTTAACTACCCTTGTCATTCGTTCAAACCTTTCGGACACCCAAATACTCGAAGTTACATCGAGTACACTACGACTAAAGTTAGTAATTTCTTATTTTGTAATTAGTCTCGTCCATTTCTGTGGCCCTGAAGTCAGTTCCACCCTTACAGGTACAGCTGCTAACCTGTTCTGCAACTCTATGAATGCTGTGCTCTTCCAAACGCTGATGACGTCAAACAATCGTGCAAAAATGATAGAGCATCTGACTGTATGTCCACATGAAGTGTTGGAAGCAGCAGGACATTTCTTCCTTTCACATCGCCGACTAGAACTTCCACGAGAAGAAAATCTCCCGCCAATCAGCGTCGACGAGCTGTACGGATGTGGCTCCAATGACTTCAGGGGAAGACCGAGCCCACTTAAACGGGACGATGTTGCACCAAGGCTAATTTTAGATTTGGACACCCAAATGGATGGCGTGGTGATGCGACTCATGAACACAATACAAAGGTATGTGAGTGGAGTTAACCATACTGATGATGTAAGATTTCTACTCCCGTGCATTGTCCCTACGCCTTTTCATCTTCAGGATGACATAACAAGCTAGTTTTTTAAATGGTTTCTATATAGAAAATATTCTATTAGGCCAAACTAATTTATATTGTTTTTCTGATCAATGTGTCTTTCTGTACTGGCTCTTTTCCAGACAGCTTGAAAATGGGAAATGGTACTCCCATACACAAGAAGGGAGAAACTATTAACGCAAAAAATTCCAGACCGGTGACGTCTCCCTGTTGTTTTTCCAAAATTTTCGTATACTGTTTCTTGAGTCGGTTGACGCTGTTCCTTGAAAGAAATGAGGTACTAACATTGAACCAACATGGTTTCCGTAACGGTAGGTCAATACTAACAGCATCTCATTCTTTCTTCAATACGCTAGTTCAGTACATTGAGGCAGGATAATGCCCTCTTGGTATCTTCTACGCAGGGCATTCGAATGTGTCAACCATGATCTGTTATTAGTAAAACTGGCAACTTATGGAATCGGTGGACCAGGCTACCTCTGGATACAATCCTTCTTAGGAAACAGATCGCAGTATGTGACAATAACTCATAACTGCTCAGGACAACTAATACAATTCTAGTGCGATAAATATGGATGTTGGCGTTCCACAAGGATCTGTGTTGGGGCCTGTTCTGTTTGCATTCTATGTAAATACCCTTGAGCAGTCCTTCCCCAATAAAGATGACGTTATCCTAATTAACGACTGTAACAACTTGTTACATAGCATCAATAGCTCGCAGGCCTGCCTATTTAAAATCTGAGAACAGTTTTTACACGTGAAAAGTTATTGATGTTATATCACAGTCATATCGAGTCGCAAATGCGGTATGCATTGTGTTTCTGGGGTTTCTCGGTGAATGCTTCAACGGTATTTCGAAGTCAAAAGAGAAATAATAAGGTGTATCGCAGGTGTTGACAGTATATACAGTTGCATAGACTTGTTCCCGAAATTAAAAATTCGTAGTTTCTTTATGAAATGGCAATATATACGTGTATTAGAGAGATAATTTCACCTTGAATAGTAATATACATACATTCAATACTCGTAGGCAGCACGACATTCATCTACCCTTTGCTCGATGTAAGCTGGGTAGTAGATCTCCCTCTATTTTAGGACCAAAGATATTCAGTTAGCTGCCTGAGTATATTAAGATAATTAGCCCCCTAAATAATTTTAAAGCTGAGTTAAAAACCTACTCTATTAATAAGACTTGTTACGTCATCAATGACTTTGTGGATATTTAGACGTTCTCTTTTTTGTATTGTTTATTATCCACTTATTGCTTGTCCTTTTATATATTTTTATATTGTATTTCTGTCAATTTATTAATTTTAACTGCTGGAAAGCTAATCTATTTTATCTGCTATTGTTAGCCTATGGTGTCCATTTTAACATGTCTAATTTAAGCTATTGTTTGTTGACGAACCCTATACATGTTTTGTACATGTCTAATGGGTAATAAACATTATTATTATTATATTAGAATGACAGAAAGCTGAAGCCAAAATGTAGAAGACGTAAATCTGGACATTCCTTGATGTGGAGCTGCATCTCCAGTATTTATTGGGGTATGAGCATTTACCAATAAAAACTGCAATATCAAAGTTAATACAGGCACGTATAGTTGTGGGTATGCATCCATTCATTGAGCCATTTTAATATTGCTTCGTCTTGTTGCATTCTCCGCATGAGCTTAGCATATGGCTCAAGAGATTATATTTTAAGTAGTAATAGATAAAGGTTTGGATAACTGTTTATAGTCAACGCCAAACAAAGTGGCGTGCACGTCATCACGATAAAAATTCCCCGACCTAATGCCTAGGTTTCTATCACAAACAATTGCTCTATTGCAGTTTCATATTAATGTGATATATAAATTGTAAAATGGTCATTACTCTCTTATTATGGTTAATAGTCATATAAACATTGTTATTAAAATATCACATAAGTTGCTTTCTGATAAATTTAGACGCATTATGCGAAATAAAATGTTTTGCAAACGCTCCAATCACTTATCGACATGTAAACGCACTAAACCGATTTCGCAGCGTTGACACATTGTCACCTTGAAACTTATTTAAACTGGGAACTGACATTTGTATTAATTTTGACACTGAATCAATTTGTGGCATTTCAAATCTTTATAAATCCTTTGGCCCCGCATACTGTGAATCAACAACTGTTTGTTTCAAAACAAAATTATTCATTTTACGAGTAGATAAAGGCAATTTTGGTATATAAAGATGCCCAAACAGTTAAATAGTCGGTGTAAGGAACTCGTGGCCTCGTTAATGCACTACTTTGAGCAAGAAAGGGACAACAACGGGCCTTTGTTGCCTTCAAATGCTGTTCAAGAGGTAGGTTACTAATAATTATATGTAATGTATATTAATAATAGTGAAATTTTATTTCATTTTTTGTAGCGTGTTGCTGCTGCTTTAAAAATTAGTTTAAGGACAGTTAGTCGTATTTCCGAGGGTGTGAAAAGTGATGCAAATTTAGAATCGCCCAAGAAAAAGCGGAGTTATATTAAACGTGTAACCAACACAGCGACATTGGATACAAGTGCCATTCGAGAAGTGATCTATAATATGTATCACAAAAGTAAGATCTTATTATAATAACTTATCAGAAATTTGCATTAATTTGTTAACTAAATTATAATGTCATATTACACATGGTTTCAGAAGAACAAGTTACGATACAAACTTTATGGTCTCGATTAATAGATAGGGCATTATTTGATGGTAGTGCCACGTCTTTAAGGCGGTTGCTTAGAGATCTTGGATTTAAGTGGCTTAAGGGCAATCCGCGACGAGGGCTCATGGAACTACCAAGTATAGCTTTGAAAAGGGTGGAATTTCTAAGGCAATACAATCAAGCCAAGGTTGAGGCCTTATACCAGTTTGTCTTCCTCGATGAAACTTGGATATTTCAAAATGGGACCATAGGTCGCTCTTGGCAAAATGGAAACCAAAAAAGCGTGAAAGCTATTAAAACAGATGGTAAAAGGTATGTACTTTTACACAATTTGCACTATAAAATTTAAAACTAATATATTTTAGATACATTATATTACATGCTGGAAATGAAAATGGGTTTATTGAGGGTAGTGAAGCGATATTTTCCGCGAAAACAAAATTGAGCGATTACCATGGAGAGATGAACCAGGACAATTTTTTGAAATGGTTTCAACATCAGTTATTAGAAAAATTGGAGAGTCCATCTATGATTATACTGGATAACGCCCCTTATCACAGCATGATATTGAACAAAGTGCCCAACAATGCATGGACAAAAAAAATATCCAAGACTGGTTGACAAATCAAAACATACCATTTTTAAACACAATGTTTAAAACAGAGCTATTGAGTATTGTTGCTCGGTACATAATGCTTCTTAATTATATATATTTTGGTCGACAGTTTATATTTCTTTTGTTTATTCCTATTCTTAAAATAACTGCTTTTTTAGAAACAAACCACCTAAAATATACGTGATTGATGAATTGGCGGAACAACATGGGCACAAAGTTCTTCGTCTGCCTCCTTACCATTGTATATTTAACCCTACTGAGTTAATTTGGGGCATAGCAAAAGGTTACTATAACAGACATAACAGACATATTGGTAGAGATGGTAACAGTGAAAAAGACTGAATATGTGGAACGAGGCTCTACAAACGGTTACCCCAGACATGTGGAAAAATAGTGTTCGACATACTGAGCAAGAAATTTTTAAATGGTATGAAAGAGAACGAATTTTTGATCGACCAGACATCGAACCTTTAATAATCAACTTTGAGAGTGATGAAGATTCAGATTCAGACAGCGCTGAAGAAAGAAACTCCGACTAACTTTATTGTACAGAAAAAGCTTACACCAGTAGCTTACCTAATTTTAGAATGCATTTCTCTGTATGAATTCTGTAAAATAAATACCATGCATAAAATTTGGAGGACCCCATTTGGATTTTTATTCAGTACCTTTAAGCTATCAATTAAATATGGTAGTTTCATAGTGTCATCTGATCAATAATTGTCATACTTAATGATTATGCAAGTACAGATCTATAATTTTATTATACTATTATTTTTGTTCTCATTTGAGGTTAATATTGCTTATAAACCTAGATATGTAAATAATAAATTTTATTATATTACAAAAAGTTTGGCAACAATGTAAATTTTTCAACACACCCACCTTGATGACGTGCACGCCACTTTGTTTGGCGTTGACTATATTTCTGATACGCTGCTTATAAACTTAGTCCTTATCGAAGAGTTGGTTTTATTGAAAAGTAGGGAGAGAGAAACCGACCACTAGAGTGTTTTTCATCACTATTGTTTCCCTATTTTAAACTGAAGGCAAGCTCCCAAGATTCTGAACTAGCAACTCCTTTCAGGTTAGTAAAGCAGCAGGGTTGGACAAAGAAAACCAAATGCAAGTCAGCACAAGCCTTAGATGACAGTTTCAAATTACTAAACAGACTCGTTTGCTGCAACACTCGTGTTCCATGTTCATTGCAAGTTTTCAAAATTCCAAAAGACCTTCCCCGAAGTTATTGCTATGATGGTACTGCTAGGATGAAGACGATAGATCTTGAAGAATCAGAGGATGAGCAACTTGAGGATGGAACAAGACAACGGTAAGGACTCAATTTTTTCCAATTATATCATATGGAATATACAGCTTTACTCAAAAGTCCCGGAACGGCTCTGTATATTCTCGGGTAAGGTATTTTTGGAAATGGTCAAGGTCAGGCCTTCAGTAACTTTCAGCAAGAAATTCAACGGTCACCTTCAATTTTACGATAATAAAACAGCTAAAGTCCAAGGTCAGGATGCCTATGGAAGGTTAAATGAAGATCAAATGTGTACTGCCAAAAAAGCCATTCCAAATCTCTCAGGATGATGAAAATAACTACCAAAGAAACAAATGTATTCATTGCACGTACTCTAATATAATAACTTAATTTTACCACAGTTCCGCTAAAAAACAATCTCCCATCACCACCATTTGTCAAATAAAACAAAAACATTTCTTGAAGATCATCCAGAATTGATTGTGACAAGATCAGACAAATGCAATGTAATAGTAATAATGTATTGACAACAAAATGTATGCCTATCCTAAAGTATGATTAATAATGACTCCTCTTGCACTCTCACCATGGACAGCTGTTTCGTGCTCCATAGCTACTCATCAGCATGGTCTGGCTTGGTCGCTCGTCTCTGGATCAACGAACGAAAGTATCGCAACTATCCTTTATACCGGAGGTATGATCTATCGAAATAAGATGGCACAAAGCGCCATGTATCGCCAGAATCAACAATTTTGGATAGCTGACGATTCTTGTCCTTGAATAACGCACATTAGACCACATCTACTATACAGCCAGAATCGTCAGCCATCTAGCAGTCACATGGTCACGTGAGCAATTAAACGTGAACTGAGATTTTTACAGTTCCAATACTCGTAAATGGCAACTATGCGCTTCCGCAGTGGTCCATTCTGGTGATATATGGAGCTTTACATCAAGGTTCGGCATTTCAGCGAATCCAGCATAAACGAGAAAATAATATATCTTGGTAACTGCAGCCTTTAGGGCATTACGGTTTTTCCGGATACCGAATATCCTAAATAATAATTGTATTTCAATGTTGAAACTTGGAAGACTAAAGGCAGATATAAATACAAAGTCGAAAATATGCCCATTAATCACTATTTAAGAACAATTTTTGTAATAAGGCATGGGTAAAGAGGGCTAAAGGCAGATATACTTGAAGGCAAAAAGTCACTTGGAAACATCGGCAACTATTTAACCTATGAGCATACTTTTGGCAAGGCTTATTTATGGTCAGGAGACGTTACCTTCATATTGCAGCATGGCCAGATTAAGTGGGTCAAAGGGAACTTGCAAGTTTGTTTAAAATTCCTTGGAGTTTTCTACCAGATACCTGAGGATTGGCAATAATGAGGTTTTGCATAGTCTAACTAAGAGTGGATTTTGTGACTCGAAACTCGTTAATGTGTGAGACGTGTAAAATAACTAATTTCCTAATGGAACAAGTTTGCAGTTAATTTAGTACTAGTTACAAAACATGATCGGAAGTCTACAGCGTTACTTAGAAAATAATGTCTTATGTCAGTAGAAATTTAAATCATACAAATTACAAACGGTAAACAAAATTTTAGTTTTTGTATAGCTAAAATTTCTACTTACAAAACGTTTTATCCACAGGCCCCATGCCACAGGGCGAACAACGTCCACGGATGGTTCAATCCAGTGAGGAAGGTGACTCTGGTGAAAGTGTATCCTTTGTAGACACTTGAAGTATGCTAAGCGCTTCATCTAGAATAACTTCAAAATGTGGTGTGTTTCTACTTTACACCTGATTATGAGAAGATGCATAAAACTCTATCACAATTATACAACTCACCAAGATACGCATAATTAAAACACTAGAAACCTTTGTGTCCAAATGATCTTCGCTTTCTCAAAACTAGAAATGTAAAATTGTATCACATTTTGCCAAGCAAAACAAAATGTCTTGATGTTTTTCAAAACCGTGGAACATTTGTTACTATCCGAAGCTTGTTTTGACGTTGAAGACTTCCTTAACTTCAATTCTTTCAGCCTGGCATAATTTTAATTGTCTTCAATCTCGTTTATAATTTTTTAACCATGTTTATTTATTGTTCATCTGAATTTTAACTTAAGTTTTATTAACTTCTATACCTTTTATTGCCATTTTTATATATTTATCATGTTTTACGTATTGTTTGTTGTTTTTCATGTTCTACTCTAATTGACAGGTGCAAGCACATTTTCGTGTAATAGCACGATTAAATTATCATTATTACTTAAGTAGTACCTATGTGTGCGTTATTATTCGTTTAACGCCTAAGGGATGATCGTCATAGCGTTACTTTGAGCACTTAAGTAACGAATATAAACATGTACTTAAGCGTCGTCGACGAAGAGCAGTTTTGCTTTGTGATTGACATCTCTTTTTGGGGGTTACCGTCAGCTCCTTATTCCTATAACATACAGTGAAAACCAAATACCACTGACGTCGTAATGTGTACGAGAGAGGAGCGTGCAAAAAGTGTGTTAGAAAGAGATAGAATCCCTCGTTGCCTAGCTACCCGAGTACCAAGTCACTCTTTCTAATATACATATTGAAGCTCACCGTATATCCAGTGTGCAGCTGTTTTCAATTCGATAATTGAATTTTAGCACATCTAAAAATGCAGTCAGCTAAGTCACTGCAGATCGTTAAATTAGCACTATACAGACTCATTCAACAGGAAGAATGCGCAAGAAAAGAGCAAACATCCAGGGATCGTTGAAAGGCTCCAAAGTCCTCGTCCCCGAGTGTATCTCGAGTTCAAGCGTCGTCATCAACTGAGGGCATTTTTGCATTGTAATTGCGGATGGCAGCAGCCGACGACATCACAACTAATGATGCCTCCCTTTACGCTTTCCGAATACTTTCGCCAAGAAGCGGAGAGTAGGTGGTAATTGGAGCGAGTGATGTTGAAACATCAGAGGTATGGCGTAACGGGGTTACGCCTTGTGCTCATAAATATGGAGATGTGCCTGGATAGGGCGCATTGAGACACTTTTCAAACATGCCATCAAAACACTCTCTGTTACGATGACTGCTTTGTTTTGCAGATTTAAATACTTTTATGTCCCGTAAATAAGGGTTGATATGTAAAATAGTTATTTACCTTACAAGTGTGGAAAGTTATACTGTTCCGCAAGCGACGTCAGCTGCATGTTTTCTAGAACGTCCTGTAGACGTGGCACTGCTTATGCTGCCCGTGCCTTGAGACGTGAAATGTGAGTTTTTTTCATGAATTTTTTGTAAGTATCCGTAATTTAATAAGAATAACACGTAATGCGTGCGGAAAAATGCTACTTTCTGCACGCAGATGCGTGTTAAAAGTGAGTTGTTTCCGCATGCTGGTAGAAAAAAGGTATATCGGGTTGCTATACTTCTGACTCAATCTAATTTTGGTTACAGATGACGCTTTAAGGTAACTTATTTCCATAGACCTGGATAGTTGATAAATATGATGTTTGTTCAATCGCAAAGTATCATGTTAAGTATGTTTAATTTTTGACACAAAGCTACAAGACCTAGGCTGTTATCTTCTATTATTTCTGAAAGTTATGTCTAACATACAGTCAATAATAGACAAGGGAATGACGTGAAGTATGTTGACTACATTTTCCACGCAACGCGGTAATTAGTTCATAAACACAAGGTAGTTCCTATCGAAGTAAGAGAGCGCTATAGACATTGTATACTAGATAGAGGACAGTTGTTATCTCAAAGATGAAACCAATAAAATGCTGTTTGTGATACTTTGCAACTCCCCAGCATTGTATAGGCTTGGTCTCAAGCTTTTCTTTCTTTTGAAATAGTGCAGCATTATACTTTTGCGGATTGAGCTTCATGTTATTTAATAGCAGAATAGTTATTAATACTTTCAAGATCAATATGAATTGTAGCCTCAGCCATTTTGAAAACATCAAGTGAAAAGCTTAACGATAATTGTGAATCATCGGCATAACAAGTTACACTAGAGTTAATTTTGATGACCAAATCAAATGGATATATTAAAAACAAGACGAGACCTAGGACTGAACCTTGTGATACCGCTGAAGAAACATTCTGTAACTTTGAAATAGTTGTTCCCTGAAACACCTGTTGCTGTCTTTCTAAGAATGACGATACGGTGTCGAATACCTTACTAAAATCGAGAGAGACAAGAACTGTTACCAGGCTGTTATCCAAATTGGAGATTAGATCATAGAACTATAACATATAGTGCAGAAACAGTGCTACGTCATTTTCGAAACCGAACTGATTCGCAGACAGTATTCCTTTAGTACAAGAAAACGCTAAACTTTATTTGTAGATTGTGTTCTCTAATACTTTGGAAGCTACCTACCCGTAAAAAGCTGATAGGTCTTAAGTCACTAACTTGTTCTGTATTGTTGGTTTTAGGAAGTGCAGCAATTTAGAACGTTACTGGCGTTTTATATGTATACTGTTGTTTTTTTCACTTTGGGAGACGTCAATACTTATTTTCGTTAACGATTGTTTGGGCGGTTCCCTGTTTGATTGATATGTGGCGGGTAGGTGAAGCTAAGACGCTTTTTTCCTCAGAGTTCTGTCAGCGCTCCAGCTTTCTCTACGTATCCTTATATGCATTGAATTCTTTTTAATCCCTGTTTATCCATCCTGTGGTGGGCTTTGGCTGTTAGACCGATTTGTCCCTGTGTACGTAGACTACTTAAGCAATGGTTTCACTAATGATCTATTCTCTTTAGTTCTGCTTAGAGGGAATGTAATAAAAGTGTCGAATCTTGATGATGTCTTTTCGTTGCAAAAACGCGTATCAATACGATTTCATTTATAAAATTCGGCTTGATCGTAAAATTCCTCTATCAGAAAATGAGTTCGCCCTTCATTCAGCTGCGATCATTGACCTGATTATCTACGGATACTTCCATTCCACTCCAGAGCATCTACACCCACAGCAAAATTGCCAACTAAAAACATCGAGGAATTTTTCTAAAAACTAGAAACGCCAAGCTGCTAAAATGAAAAGATAATTAGGAGCTATACGCACGACTATAATTAATATACTTAGCGAGATTTCGAAGTTTCGGGTAGAAATCCGGGCGTAAGTAACATTAAATTGCCAGGTCTGAAATAAACACAAAAAGTTATTACGGCTTTGATTAATTACAGAACGGAACCGCTACCGCCGCGTTGTTCCACGTCGCGTTGAGATTCGTGAGATTTCGCTGGAAACGCGTAAAAACGAACAACGTCAGCCGGGAGGGATGGGTTCTGCAGTATAGCGGAGGAGCTGAATTTCATAACGAAGTGTACGTGGGTGAGCCAATAAGTCTGAAACTTAAATATCCCGCCTGTTAGCTGGAAGGGCAACACTGCTACTGCGAACAATCTTTTGTCAGTTGACTCTTGTCAAATTTGAATTAAGCTGTGTCATTTAATTTGTGTTTGCCAGATATTGGTAACAGACAACCTCGCAATTTGTGAAAATGGACAAAAGTAAATTTCGCGTGTCTATCGAGCATCGAAAATTTCTAATTGTTTGACCAAAAACACCTGTCTTCCGGCCAACACTACTACTTTACTGAGCAATATACAGGATTCGTTCAAGGGGCATTTTATAGCAAACTCGCTGGTTTCCTGTTTGACAACTTACATTGTCTATGGAGAGTTTGGCCGCAATCATAGTACACATGTGAAAAATCATTTATTTCTTCAAATTAAAAAAAAACTAAAGTTGAAGAAGCATCTTTGTGGATTAGAACTTACGTCCTGCGGTTCCGCAATCATTAGATATATAGATAGTAGATAGATAGTCTTTATTGTCTTTTGGTCATAAATAGCTATGACATAAGACTTGTCAACATTACATATACAATACATAAGTATGCGATATGCAAAAAAGAACAGGTAGTTAATTAAAACAGTAATTGAGATAATAAATAAACAAATAAATAAATAAAATAGGAGTCATTACAAACACAAACAAATTCTTAATGACATCTAACGAACATGAAAAAAAAAACAATTTTATATAAATAAACTCAATTGAGCACTTAAAATGTCTAGAAGATGAGCAATAAATGACTGTTTCTTTTCCGTTAAGCTTAATAAATAAATAAAAAGAATAAATAAATAAAATTAATTTAATTTAATTCTTCCCATTACTCTACGACACCTCTTGCTTTACTGGTTCTTTAAACCACTATACATGACACTGACAAATGTCAAGCGAACGTTGGATGCATACCAAATCTGTTATAAACGTTTATTAATATTCTTGAATACCTTAAATAATGTATTAGGGACTAATACCGAGCATATTACATAATTTTTCAGACGGTCAGTTTGCTATAATTGGTTGATATTTGTTTACTGGTTTTTCGTTTGGTCGAGTATATTTCCCAACATTTTGAACACGCAGTCGTTTTAATCGTACGAGATAAAGCTTTTGATACAATAGATCATTCAATCTTATGTTCGAAACTTAAATATCTGGGATTAAGCAATATGGCTGTAGATTTCTTTAATAGTTACCTGTTAGGCAGATCCCAGTGCACAGAATTTAATCGGCACATATCTCAGTTTCGTAGTATTACCATAGGTGTGCCACAGGGTAGTATTTTAATACCTTTGTTGTTTCCACTGTATACGTCAGGTTTGAAAAGTCAGCTGGACACATCAATATGCAGTCGATACACAATTGTATTACTCTTTTAAACTTGATGACGCTTATGTTGCCTGCATGCGTATCAATTCTGATCTTGAGTAATTATCTAGATATGTAAGAGCCCACAGCTTCGTATTAAATGAAAATAAAACTGAATTGCTTATTTTTGGATCAAGACCGTGTGAGTTACTGACAACCAGAATTTTAGAATCTGCATTAATAACACTGCAAGCAAGCAACAAATATAAATGTTTCGAACAATTTTGAACAAATTCCTTTGAATCAAATAACTGCCCGTCTTAGATTTATACAGAAACTATTAGCAATAAGTAACCACCGAATAACTGATGACAAATGGAACAGTATTCAAAGACTTCTCACAAAGATTTTTCATACAAACGAGCAAATATATTGTACACCTGATCACTAGTATTATACAGGATGTTTTAAAAGTTGAGTCATTCATTTTAACTGCTTTCAGAACACGTCAAAAGAAGTAGGTATACAAAAAATCAGCTATATAGAAGTTGCATAATAAGACAGTTAGTTTACGTTATTAAAAATTATTCAAAAAAAGTCATTATCAAATTAAATGGTTACCGCTTTTACAAAAACTGTTCAATCTGTGTAATAACATGCTTTTTAAGAGTTTTAATCTTCTTTACTCTTTTTTTATTATGCAACTTTTATGTAGGTGGTTTTAGGTATCTCAGCTCCATTTGACGAGTCCTACAAGCAGTTAAAATAAATTACCCAACTTTGAAAACACCCTACATATTATGAGACTCACATTCTTTTTTTCCAGCTGCTTGAAGACTATCAGCATCGACTTAAAAAAATTACCAAAACCAAACGCTGCACTTGAATTTTGACTTTAATTATTTTTTCTTTTGGAAACTTATGTCCAGTCCTTTTAGAAGTCTCTACTCCGTTTCCTATTCTCCGCAGTGCATATTTGTCTACTACATTTCCAGAAATAGCTTGTTTCTTTTTTCGTTATGACTTTTTGTTTTAGTCAAATACCAGGTCTGCAGCTAACTTCACTATCGACGTTTAAGTTTAACAGAGATGCAATCTCGAGTATGCGATATTTGGCGAGTACTTTATATTTGAACAACACACAACCAACTGAAGAATGGAAGTAGACAAAAAATTCATTAGTTTTTTATAACTAGCGGTGAGAATATTATACAGGGTGACTTTGAAGTTGAGTCATTAATTTTCAGATAATGACTGTAGAAGGAAGATAAACCAAAATACGTGTGTAAAAATAAAAAAAAAATAAAAAAAAATTTTTACCTTGTTTTATAAAGTATCCTCCCGACAAGTATTTCAGTGCGGACCTGTATTTGATCGTGAGGTCCCCTGTGAGGTCTTAAGTCACCTGATTCACGAGCCCGTTGTACTACATTAACAAAGGCACGAGGGTTGGTTGCACTCGATTGGGAAACCGATCCGCATAAACATGTGCCATTTTTTATTTCGTTTGAGCCACGCAACAGACACTATTCACACGCGACACTGACACTGACTGTATGTATAACTGAACTGAATAAAATAATAAACTGTACACAAACATCGTTCCAAATTCTTTCGCTTTTTTGTTTCCGATGCGATGAACCGGTAAGGCGGATTATATCCGTTGTTGCCAAACACGAGCACATGATATTGAGACAGGGCGGTACTCAAACTTCCAAAGGGCTATAACTTTGTTACTTTAATTTTACCAGAAAAATGGTAAAGGAAAAAAACATTTCTTTTGATCAGATCTATTCACTGTTAAAATAAATGACTCAACTTCAAAGTATAATTAAAGTTGTAGTGAAATAGCAAATTAATGGTAATGTTTAGTAGGCGACCACTTGATTGTACATTTTTGGGATTGCGACATGCCAAACAACCGACGTTTTAAGCATTTGTTGTATTGTTTCAAAGGCTTATATTTAAAACTCGCTGCAATTGGGTGACCAAATAAAATACATTTAGTTGTGTTAAAATAAAACGAAGCATAAACAAAATATAATAACACTTACTTACCCATTTTTTGTAGAATAACAGAAACAGAGTTCCTCGCAGGGCATTGCATCTCCTAGGTTTCCGTTATTTTTTACTAAGCTGCGAGAACAAATTTGAATATCTCATTTTTCAAAATTGGTCACCCAATAGTGTTTAACATATTCAGTGTTGATTCAAGTACGCAGAGATAAAGCTTTTTCTTATCGCTCTAGTATATAATTATGTTCCGTCCTCGTCGAAGTAAATAATTAGAATACATATCGTAGTACCCTTGTAGTAGTACCCAACCGCCACGATATGTATTCTAAATATTTACTTCGAGTAGCACTTCACGTAATTAAGATCGAACATCACTTACAGATAAGTTCGTTTGACCATGTAATTTTAATGGTCAGTTGCTATAAGCGAATTTCTTGACAAGTATGAGATTAGATATTTAAATGAATCGGAAGAGCAATTAAAAGAACCATTATCTGAAAACGTATGTACTTCGTAAAT